CTCTATAAATGCCCTTTGCCTCCCAGCTCTTTCCTCTATTTCCCTTGATTTTCCTCCTGTCCCACTATCAGGCTCAGTCCCCAGCAGGATTTCAGCACTTCCTTTGTTACATTTCCCTTGATCCTGCCCTACCAGGTCTCCCACACCCACGTCAACACCAATTTGGATCACTTGTTCCCTTGTCCCTGGGTTTGTTAACACCTCTACCCTTCCCCCCACCTCCCTCTCTACCTAACTTTTAAACCACCAAAACTTAAACCTTTCTGATGCAGAATCTGGAGCTCTGGTGGGGGTAGTGGGTTTCATGTGGGGCTCGCTAACCACAGGGTCAGAAGTTCAAACCTACCAGTGAGCTACTCCTCCAGGGAAAGGTGAAGCTCTCTGCTCAGGTTAACATTTACAGTTTTGGAAGCCATGGGGCAGTTCTCCTCTGTCCTGGAGAATGAATGCGTGGGATCCACTTGGGGGGTTGTGGAATTTGAGAGACGGTGTGGGCATCTGGAGGCTTCAATTGAGGACCCATCACGATTCATTAGGAGTAATTTATTTCTCTCCTCCTGAACCACACAGTATTTGTAGTTAGAATTTTGACCTTGTACGTCCATTAACTCTAAAATATGGACGGTCACCTTTCTGGGCTAGGCCCACAAAGAGGCTTCCCCATCTTTGGAGCTCCTGCTGAGCCCAACCCACTTGCCAACTCCGGTAGGTGCTTCATCACTCGAGGTATGGAAGACTCTTTAGGGTCCTCCGTCCGCCCAGGTTCCCCAGGCTTTATACAGGTCACCTCTGGAGGGGGGAGCAGCACACAGGGTCACCGAAGAAAAGACTGGTGTCTGAATGGGGGGAGGAGTCACCTCCGGGCGAGTGTCCCGTTTACAGTCCCTCATTGAAAGAGCTCTAGTGTCCGAGAAAGTCAGTGTCCAGCTATGGTTTTCAAGCTCCCTGGCCCAGTGTCTGCTTAGTGGGTGCGACTGTTGACAGGTCTCCACAGAGGTGGGCTCCCAGTTATCACATGACCTTTCCCAAGTGGCACGCTGAATCCCATCAAGAATGACGTGTAGTGGCCAGGGTTGAGAGCTCTATTACCAAAAAAGCTCGCTTTCTAGGGTCCCCACTTGGTTTTCAGTTCTTTCAATGGTTCATTTCTTTTCATGGTTGAGTAAGACTCCTCTATTGTGAGCGTAAATGCCACCTGGAGTTGAAGCCTGGCTCTGGAGCCCATGTTATGTAACCCCCGAGATGTTCCAGCTATCATATCTCCAGCAGTTATCCCTAGTCCTCTCTCGGAGAAGACTTCCCTGGGAGGGGGCATCGCAATGCTGAAAGGGAGAGGACTCTGACCTCAAAGCCTGCGGCTGGCGGAGCCCCCAGGCTTGTCCCAGAAGGGCAATGAGACGTATGGGCGGAGAAAGCGCTTGGTGACAGCGCAGCTGCCACAGGAGTGTGTCCAGCAGAAACTGCACAGCTTGGGAAGACAGTGTCTCCACCCCAGTAGGCTTCCACTGAGCTCCAGGACCCCGGGACGGGGCAGAGGCAGCAGCTTCTGGCAGTGCTGCCCAGCAAGAGCCAGGAAGCTCCCTGGCCCCGATGACCGGGCGAGGCTTCACCCGTAAGGGGCCTTTCCGTGACACCCCCGAGGCCAAAGCTGCACTTTCCAAAGTCTAATCACTTCCACTAGGCTTTCCTGATGTTTATCCCACATCCTTCCTACCACAAGAGGAAGCCATCTCCCTTGTCTTACTAATAATCGCCCTGGTAAGCAGCCCTGGTGGCATAGTGGGCACTGAGCTGCTAAGCACAAGGGCAGTGGTTTGAATCCACCAACCACCCTGGAAAGGAACACAGCTGTGAGCTCCCACGAAGATTTACACCGAAAGGGCAGTCTGACCCTGCCTGGGGGCGTGAGTCCGAGTGGATTTGATGGCAGTGAGTCTGGCTTTAGAATCAGTGTGCAGTGGTATGGGCCGCACAGACTGGAGGCCCCGACTTGCTGGTGGTGTGACCTCAGTAAGTGACTTGGCTCTGTTCCTTCAGTATCATTGGTGAAATGGAGACAGTATGAGACTGGCCGCAGTGTTCACCAGGACACGTACAGACTGCGTGGTGTGCCAAGTCATCGTGTGGAACCCCTCGGTCATTTGCATGTGCTATAGCTTAACTGTTGAGGACTTAAGCGAGTTTTTTATTAACCCCTTTGTCCCTTGAGAGATAAAAGTGATATTCTGACAGGTTTCTGGATTTATAAATACTAGAAAAACACCAAAAAACCTCCAACGTAAATGTACTTGGCTCAACAAACCCCAGTCTTCTTCAAACACCACTCTTGGGGACAGTGGACACAGAAGGAACGGCTGCAGCTGCACGTGGAGCGAAGAGGACACTCCATTCGGGTCGTTTGATCCCCTCGTTGCCCCACTGGTGGGCACTGTGGTTTCTTGTATCAGAACATTCAAGGTTAGTAGAGGGATCTACTCATGAAATTCGCTTTCCTTGGAAAAGGCAAACCAGTCCGTTCAAAATTTGTAACACTGTCAGGGCCTGAGAGCAGAAAGAGCCCCATCCCTGCAGACTACAGGCCTGGCCTCCTGGACAGGTTTCCGCAGCGAGCCCTGGCCTCGGGTGGAGCACCGCCACGGGCCCTGGGAAAGCGGCAGTGCGGAAAGACACGCGGACAGAGACGAAGGAGACGTTCTGATTATTCTTTTTTTTTAATCTTCAAAGTTTTCTGCCATGAGACAGGAATGCATGATAGAAATGGCTCAACATCTTCACATGAAACACTTGGATTCATTTTCATTCACAAGTTTTTTTTCTAAAACACCTACAATTTCATAATTCCACCCACTTCCAACCAGAATCACAGATTTAATTGACCACTGAACAGTAGTTGCCAGCAACAGCGCGGGAACGCTTCCAGCATATTCGTAGTGTCCTTGAAACGACCCCCAAGAGGGTCAGTCTCACTGTACTTGGCAATGGAGGGTGACTGATGTCCCCAGGAGACTCCCTCCTTACCACGGAGCGGTAGGTCTCCCGCAGACACGTAAAGAAAGGCTTGCTCTTCACCTAGAATACTCATTCATCTGAGTTCTTTCTTGCAGGGATCAGGACGCGCTGACTTGGAGCACTGCCCATTGCCTGATCCGGCCCTGTGCCCTTTCGGGACTGCACGGACGGACGGACACCGTGACACAGACGGACCGCTTGGATTCTACATCTCTTCGTTTGAAGAGGACTACTTTTTGAACAGTTGTAAACGAAAGGGAAAAGATATACATGGACATATATCTACAAAGAGAGAGAAATACACTGATTATGTTCAATGTGGGGCATAGCTTCGTCTATATGGATACACACAACATAGAGTAAGAGTATCCACGCACACTGTCACACACCCCCGCACCCTATTACATACAGCGTGTGGAGAGAAAGGTGGTAAGTATGGAGTTCACTGGAGTTGCTATATTACCAAATGATGATGAAATACCTGATTTGCACTTCTCCTGAGAAAATACTAGAGGGAATGACAGTTCGGGTGCACTTTGGAATGGCACAATCACGTAAACACTTGCAAACTTAAGACTTCGGAACTCAAAACCAAAATTTCTAAACATGATCCGACCAAAAATTCAAACAATACAGCACGTTAAAAAGTAAGTCAAAACAGAAGTGTTTTATATTAAAAGTATAAACAGACAGAAAATACAGAATCATCGGTACTTTTTTTAAAGGTAGGAAATATGTACGTAAGAAAAATAAGTCATCTGACCAAATTAGAAAAAACAAACAGCTTTCCAATGCACAATCAGACAAGCATTGCTCCAAAGGCAGAGGACAGGCCGCATGAGAAAGGCAAGGCTGGGGACATGCCGTCTGAGGGGAAATCACCTCACACAGCGAGTCTGCTGCACGTGCAGTGTGGGAGGGGGGTGACGACAGCTGATCACACTTCTGTAAAAGAAGACCGGCAATTTGTGGAGTATCTTACCCCTCAGATATCATAAAACTGTATAGAAAATGCTATCCAAACCAATGAATTTCAAGCACCAAGGCAATTATTTAAACTTACTGTATTTTGGTTTCTCTTATTGTTGAGGGGGTAAACTAGGACGAAGGCTAAAGTAAAATTAGCCAGGTAATTACAGCGTCGTTTTAGAGGCACGCGGTTTTCCCCTTCCGTTCACCTGAATGCCCAACACTGGACGATGTTGAGGCCAGTCGAGGAATCCCTGGAGAAATCCACGAAGTCTGAGTATCACTGGTTACTATACATTAAAGCTCTGTAACCCACCAATACTTAGTTGGCGGAGGAAACAGCTGCACTGAGAGAGGCCGGGTGTCCTTGTAACTGGGAAGAGGCAGCACCTAAACAGTAACTAGCAAGCACCCCTGGGCCTTCCCCAGCAGGGCAGGGAAACAACGAAGGCAACACGACCGCCGGCGAATACTGGCGGTTCTCTGCATGAAAGCGCCTCCTGCAAACACCTGGGGCAGGAGGAGACAGACCGCAGTAAGAGCACTTTCCCCCTTGTTCTTTTTCTGCACTGGGGGGAGGAGAGTAGCAGAGTCGGAGCCAGTGAGCAAGCGGCAGTATTCGGGAGGCCTCTGGCTGCTCCTGAGGAAACGTGTCGGATGACGCGGGGCCATTTGTTCCAGTACGGACATCTCAGCACTCACTCACCATGTCTGAGACACCGGGGATGCTTCAGTCTTTTCCTCCGATTGAGAGACCGACTGCACTTGAGACTGAAAAGAAGACTACTGAAGGAGACAATGTGGAAAGCAGAAATCACAATCTAAAGTGGTCCTCCATCACTTCCCAGCCTGCGCTCACGGCACTCCATCAGGGAACCACATGCAGCTGAAGTCACGGGGCTAGGACAGGGGAAGGGGCGGCTGGCCTTGAGGGTCCTGGGGGTGTGTGGCCTTGCTCTGGCTCCTCGCTTGTCTCTGGGGGTGGCTCTTCAGGGACAGGCTCACCAAGGTCTTCGCTGCCCCCTTCGCTCTGCTCTTCGCTCGGCTCCACAGTCTGTTCTAGGCTGATCTCCGGGAGCACAGGGGGGTTGCTTATCTCACTCTCTGCTTCCACAGCTGCCACCGCTGTTTCCTTTAGGGTTTGGGGAGGAGGTGGTGTGAGGCTGTCAAACTGCAGGACGCCCTCGGTGGAAGAGGCAGGGGCTTTGGTTAGAGCAGTGTCGGCTACAATCTCATTCTGAGGCAAAGGTAACTTTTCCACGAGTTTCCACTGAATGATGCTCATGTCTTTCCCACCAGTTGAAATGAGGTGGCTGTCGTTATGGGTAAAGCTGACATTGGTGACATGGCTGCTGTGGGCACTGTACTTGTGGCTGGGAGCCTACAGAAGTGAATCAGACAAAGGCAAATTATTCTTGGCAAGCCTGCTTACTGCAAGGGAGGCGACTAGTCAGGGGAGGTAATCCAGCTTGTGAAACAGGTGGTTCAAACAAAAGTTACAAGTCACCGAATCCAAGGAATAAAGCTAGAGGAAATCTCCTTTTAACGCCTATTCATATAGGTGAAAAAACAAAACAACCAAACTACCAAGGCAAGCCTTTCCCGAACATCATGGTAATACTAGTCATAGCTATGAACGATTCCATCAGGACAGCTGGATTGGCAGGGTGACAGCACATTTGGGAAACACCTCTGGTATGATGAGGGTGACTGTATAGAGATTAAGAAAGGTATTTTTAAATACCTAGGAGGAATTCAGGGAGCCCTGGTGGTACAGTGCTGGCAGCACCTGAGTCCCCAGCCGCTTCGTGGGAGAAAGATGAGGCAGTCGGCTTCCTGGAAGGCTCATGGACCTGACCCTGCCGGCTAGTTCTACCTTGTTCTTTAAGGGGGCTGAGTCAGAACCAACCAGACTGCCATGGGCTTGAAAGGAGAGGAGCAACTCAGGACTGCCAATCAAACACCACCGCTCAGTCTGCAAAAAGGACGAAGACATCCCCAGGTGCCACTTCATAGCGGACTTCTCACCTGTAAGGAGGACCAGACTATGGCGACAGGCATGCCCCACTCTTCCGCCCCTTCTCTGGGCCTTACAGGCTCTGAGGGTGCAATCCAGGATCCCAGATACTTTGCACTTTCTCACCACTGGCATAAAATGGTCCCAAACAAAAGGCCCTATACCACACTAAACCAAGAAACCCTAACCTGCTGACACCGAGTTGATTCTGACTCAAGGCAACTCTATGGAGTCCCCGAGTCAGTACGTCTTTACAGGAGCAATCAGCAGCCAGTCAGCCGGCAGTCCAACGATGACCCCAGCGCACCGCCAGGGCTCCTGAAACACTCATATCCAACCTCTCTGCCACGGAGCAACCCTACAGAACAGGGTAGAACTGCCCCTGTGATTTCCGACACTAACTCTTTACAGGAGTGGAAACCCTCATCTTTCTCCCATGCGGCACCTGGTGCTTTTGAACTGCGGACCTTGACGGCCCCTCCTGTAACACTAGTCTCTACTAGCTGAACTTACCTTTGGTTTGGAGCAAGGGTACTGAAACAGATGAACTTTGCAAAAGTCGTCGGCGACAGCTATGACCTTTCTGTTGTGGGCTCGCACCAGTGCGTTGATGTCTGTCCCATCGGAGCCTTCTGGCCAGACACCTTTGAGACAGAAATATGGGGCGTAGAACAACAGTAGCCCGAAACCCTGGGCCGCTGTGCTTCAGAGCTTGAAGAGGGTCCCTGCTTGTCCACGCCCATCGCTGTCCTTCATTCTAATGGCCTCTGTCCACGCTACAATATAACCACTGATACAATTAGACCAATGTGACCTCAAGTCAGAAAATGACTGGCCAGGAGACATTATTTTCATTTCAGTGTGACTCGACAACCTCTATAAGCTCTTCTTTTAAAGTTTCTACTTGGAGGGGAAATCACACTCTTTAAAAAAATTTTTTTTATTGGAGGCTCTTCAGCTCTTATCACAATCCATCCACCCATCATGTCAAGCACATCTGTGCATATGCTTCCCTCAGCAATTTCAAAATATTTTCTTTCTACCTGAACCCTTGGTATCAGCTCATTTCCCCCTTCCCCACCCCTATGAACCCTTGATAATTTATAAATTAATTTTTTTCATGTCTTACAATGACTGATGTCTCCCTTCACCAATTTTCTATTGTGCATCCACCTGGGAAGGGATTATGGGTAGATCATTGTGATCAGTTCCTCCTTTCTCCCCACACCTTCCCCTGACCCTCTTGGTATCGATACTCTTATAAGTGGTCCTGAAGGGTTTATCTGTCCTGGAGTCCCTGTTTCCAGGTCTTATCTGTACCAGTGCACATGCTCTGGTCTAGCCGGATTTGTAAGGTAGAATTGGGGTCATGAACGTGGGTGGGGGGTGGGGAGAGGAAGCATCAAAGATCTAGAGGAAAGATGTATGTTTTGTAGATGCTATACTACACACCCTGACCCTTGTGACCCTTCTGTAAGGGGATGTCCAACTGTCTACAGATGGGCTTTGGGTCTCCACTCCACACTCCCCCTCATAAAACAGACCTGGAACTATTTGTCAGCTTTTCTTTTTCTGTCGTTTTTGTTTGGCTGTCTTGTTTTTGAGATTACTGTCTCGGCACGTGTATCTAGATAAAAGGTGGGATAAACTGAGGAAAATTCACACAAATGGTCACTGCTTTCTTCCCAAAGAACCTCCAAGAGCGTCTTTCTTGAGTTGCGCACAGGCCGTCTACGGTGGAGGATGTCTGCCCATAGAACGCTCCTGGAAACACTTATATTCAAAGCTAAGGCAGAACCGGTTTATGACGAGTTGCCGGACACCGTGTCCAGACCCCGTCAGAGGAGGCTAAAGCTGTGGGCAGTTGCAAGCTGAGGCGTCCATCTCCTGTGGCGGAGTCTTCTAGAACAACTAACCTTGTGGTCAATTTGCTGAAAGCAAGTCAAGCTATTTCTTAATGGACAGCTTGTAAGGCTGCTCTGCACCCCAACAGATTCAACAGCAGTGGGTTCTGGTTTAAATGAATAGATGTATTGGCTGCTGCCTTGGTTTCACCCCCAAATTATGCAATGTCTTGTTAATGGATTAGTCAAGATTATTTTGTTTCTTCGGTTTTTCTACCTCTATAGCAAGGTGCTTAGAACAATTACCACTAAGGTATTACTTTTCTAATATCCATGCATAAAGAAATTGTCAGATATATGATCAGATTGAACAGAAAAGTGGGTGAAGGGAGACAGAATTCGGTGCAAGACATGAAAAAATAGTAAGTTATAAATTATCAAGGGTTCATGAGGGATGAGGGGGGAGGGAATGAGCTGATACGAAGGACTCAAGTAGAAAGAAAATGTTTTGAGAATGATGATGGCAACATATGTACAGATGTGCTTGACACAATGTATGGATTGTGATAAGAGCTATAAGAGCCCCCAGTAAAATTATTTTTTTTTAAAATTCTAGGCAGGGAACTATTCTGTGACAGTCCCACCAAATGTCTGTCACACTGGATGCCTGGTCCTTACCGAAGACGTGGAAGCCCAGCACGCAGGTGTACGTCGTCCAATCAATGTCTTTACACTCGGACCGGTTCCTGATTAGTTTGCAGTTATTTAAAATGTCCCCTGAAAATTTAAAAACAGTAAGTATTATCACACGGACTGTGTACAAATGTATCTGAAAGTGCAACTCAATTCAAACTAGGCATGCCTACTTGAATTATAATCCCCACACTGGAAACACTACGACTTTCAAAGAGGAAATGCAGTGTTTACTTTTTGCACAACTATAAGTTGACTGAAGTTGCCTTTTTTATTCTCTAAACACACACACACACACACCCATCCATTATAAACTCCGCTTTGCCTCTAAGACAGCTGTTAAATGCAAAGACATTCAGCGTCAATTTCAACAAGTAATTTCTTCCTGCTATACGTGCCTGCCGTTGTTTTGCTCGAGCAGGGCGCCACCTTCGAGATTCTCATTACTTCTCTCAGAGCAGCGCACACGTAAGCAGGTTAGAGAGGCCCCGGCATAGGCTCTCGGTATCATTCAAACCCCCTGGAGCCTGTTCAAGAGTGCCCCTGACAGACCGCTCGGATCACTGGCCAGCACCCATACTTACAGTACAGTATCTCATAGTCTCCTGAGTTGGACATTATATACTGGTTGTCTGGGGACCAATCCAGGTGTGTGATATAGCTGGAATGTCCCTAGGGAATAACAGACCAATTGTTAAAAAGCACCGAAGAGTTTAGTGTGACAAATACTAGTTAGGTAATGCCGTTTCTTGAGCACCCATTTGTCTGAAAATCCTATGGGCTAGAGAGCACTATTTCAGCCTCTAGAACCAACCCAGCCCCCTAGCAGGTCCTTTGTTCTTTCTTGCTCCACCTGATAGGTGGAGTTCGGGCAGGAGTCCAGAACTACAGGGTCCTGAGCATGATGCTAACGAGCATGAAGCACTCTGGGAGGAGCCAGCTGGCCTTGCCACTTGGGTACCAGCAACAAGCACTTACTACCTCCTGTGCCAGGAAAAAGTCTCTTAACCTTGTGTCTTAGAGGGCTGAGGACCCTGCCACAGATAGACACAGGTCTCATTTCAAGCTCTAGGGTCCATCAGAGTGACTGTGCGTTAGAGAACTTGAGAACGAAGTATTAGCTCCAGGAGGCGTACGCAGAGCACTTTTCCTAGGCTCCCTCCTGGCACGGCTCAGGGCCTGAGGAATACGCCACGTTTACTGGGACTCATGAGTGTCTTAGAAAATCTCATCTCTTCCGAGAGTGTTCTAGGGGGCACTCCTTCATGACAGCCAGGCGCCTACAAAGATTCCTTTCACTGGAAGACAGTACTTCTCTGCACAGGTTTAACCAACACGGTGGGATCACAACCCAAACCCACACTACAGAATGCTGCACTTTGTTGACCTCCACAGACATTTCATATAAATTCACCCCAACCAGCGGAGTCTGCTATTTGCTTTTATCTCGTATGGCTTGTGTTGAATCACAGATTTAATTTCTATGGTACTTTTTGAATTATTAGTTTTATTGAGGTAGTAAAGTCGTGTCCCTTAGGTAGGGTTGTGATGAGTTACACAAGCTACTCTTATTACTCTGGTACCCTCTGAAGCCTAACTCGGCGCACATTTAAATGAACTAAAGTTCGGTGGGCTTCAGAACTCTGAGGCCTCCTGAAATTGTTGAGCGAGTAGGAGAAATGGTTGGGGCTCACGTGGGGACAGAAGGACACACACCAATCTAACCAGAAGAACAGATGCTCAAAGCCACAAAGAGCCAGGTGGTTGAGAGAGTGTCTGGGTATGGCGGGAGACAGGGCTTACAAAGCTGCTTTCCTTAGGACCCAGGAGCTGATGAATGGTGTGTGGAGAAGAGCGCAGCGTTCCCCTGAAAGCAGCACTTAGCGACACTGTCTGGGTCGTTGGGAAGAGTCCCTAATAGCACACCCTGAGAGCGAGGACGCACTGCACATAACAACAGGGAAAAATTCCACCCCTCCCACACAAACTTTTTGAGTATTATATTCATGCAACTCACACTTTTCCTAGACAGAGAAGGTGTTCAGAAGGTAAATCAACTAGAAGGTACTCTCAAAGAGGCCTTCTGAGTAGGAAAAGCACTCAGATTTAGAAAAGACCTTGAAGTTACCAAGACATAATGGAAAATGAAGAGAATATAGTTTGACCTGGCATGGATGTAAAAAAAATAGCCAAAAGGGGGTGTTACTGGGGGGGAGGGTTATGGTGTTTCCCTCTTAATGTCCTCTGGGGACGCCTATCACACAGACCTATGGGAGGTCTGTGCTCAGCATGGGATGAGGAGGCGGGGAGGTAATGATGTCCAACTTCACCCATTGGCAAAAGCAGTTGTGAGCAAAATCTATGTATATCTCCTTGAGAAACGGAGAAGTAGTCTTAGCTGGTACTTTGTATCGGACATATGAGCTAATATCAGACTTATGGACTTGATCTGGACTGGGCTGGGATGTTTTCTCAATATTCAACTGTTCTTGTATAAACCTTTCTTATACACACGAGTGTCTCTATGAATTTGCTTCTCTAGTCTACCCAGAATAACACACTTGCTAAAAGTGAAGAAGATTGGAAGAACTTGCTGAATATCAGATAACGGCCTTCAGTATGGATTACACTTCAGCATCAAGGGGGAAAATTCATGAACATCACAAGAAAGAGAAAATACTGGTTGTCAAGGATTAATTATACTTGGATCCATAATTAACACCCATGGAAACAGCAGTAATGAAATCAAATGATAAATTATACTGGTCAAATCTGTAAAATTCTCTTTAAAGAATTAAATAGTTTCAAGAGAGAGAGAAGGTGGGGAGGGAGGGGAAAAAGAGAAGCTGATATCAAGGGCTCAAGTAGAAATAAAATGGCAACACATGTACAAATGTGCTGGACACAACTGATGCATGGATTGTTGAACAAGCTGTAAGAGCCCCCAATAAAAAGATTTTTAAAAGTTAAAAAGTAAAGATGTCACTTTCAGGACTACGGTGCACGTGAATCACAGTGTGGGTGAGGACTGGTAAAGACGCCACGGACTGCCAGGAGCGCACACTCTGTCTTGGACGCTTCTTAGAAGCGAAGACGGTAAGACTTTGTCTTGTGTACTTTGGACACGTTCTCAAGAGCGAGCAGGCTCTGGAAAGGACGTGACGTTTGGTGAACTAGAGGGTCAGCAAAAAAGAGGCAGGGCCTCCAGGAACAGGACGGACCCAGTGACTGATGGCGGTGTGAGTACACAGGCGGTCTCCTAGTGAACACCACTTGGCGACAACCACCAACAGCTCTAGGCTGAAGTCCCCCCTTCAGTGGGATCTTTCTTGGAGATCTCTCGATAGCTACAAATCTGAATCGCTTCTCGCGTTTGGATGTATACTTCCAGTTACTAAAAGTGCGGCCCAAAGAACGCTTTCACTAGTACTTCGTAATGCTTTTTTTTAGGGCTCATCCGCCCTGTATTTCCAGTTCCTATCTGTACCAGTGTACATCCTCTGGTCTAGCCAGGCTTGCAAGGTAGGATTCATATCATGATAGCGGGGGCGGGAGGAAACATTTAGGAACTAGAGAAAAGTTGTATTTTTCATCGTTGCTACATCACCCCGACTGGCTTGTCTCCTCCCCGAGACCCCTCTGCAAGGGGATCTCCAGTGGCCTGCTAATGGGCTTTGGGTCTCTTTTTAAGTACACCACGGTAACTTTTATACACGCCCCCCCCTTCTCGGTCTGAGTTCTCTAAGGCGCTCTGGGAAAGATACACAAGAATGTGAATGAAACAGAAAGGTATTATATTGGCACTAAGTGCAGAATAAAATAATATTAATCCCTTTAGCTCAATCAGAACTTTTAAATACTTCTAAGAAAATGCACAATTATCTACAATTAGTTTTGACCTGTGCAAGCCCAGGGCTCATCCACTGACTGAGAACAGTATGTAGTAGTAAGACCTATTATGCATTGAGTATTTTCTGTATACAGAGCAGTAAGCTTGAGTACTTCGATACATCACCACATTTACATCTCATACAGCAACTTTCATGAGGCTGCCTCCATACAAGGTGAGGCCGTGAGTTACTTTTCTGAAGCCACAGAACTGAGACCTACGGAGTCAGGCTTCAAGCACAAGGCAGATGATTCTGGACCAAATGATAAGCACATAGTTTTTATGTCATGCTTTTCTGACTCATTTCTATAATACCAAAGACCAGCAGAAAGCAATTTATAAGTACTAAGTTTTGTTTCTTTAAAATACTTTTAGTGGGGGCTCTTACATCTCTAATCACAATCCATACAGTCCTCCACGGTGTCAGGCACATTTGCACATATGCCGCCATCATCATTTGCAAGCATTCCCTTCCCACTTGAGCCCCTGATATCAGCTCCCCATTTCTTCCCCCCCGCCCCTTCCCAAGAACTATGTTTAGAAAAGGAATTTTTAAGTAAGCTAGAATCTTTCTAGTACACGGTCAAACTATTTGTAGTACAAGCAGCGCTGGGGGAGAGACATACTGTGCTGAAGGCAGCAGAACTGTACAAGCTCTCAGCTCTGTCACGAGATGGGATTTTTGATATAACCTATCAAGCAGTCATTTTCAAGTCCTTTTAGCTATAAAAGCCTTCCGTCCTGTTAGGTGTTCATTGAGAAGTCTAAAGGTAAAGCAAATGAAATCTGACCCAAACCAGCTCAGCTCAACTCCCAGTTACAGGGTCTTGGCAAGAAACACACACCACCAGCACCACCACAACCAAAATCAAACCCCACTTCCGTCAATTGACTCTAACTCATAGAAAGATCTTCTGAATCCAAGCCTTTCTGCACACTTTTCTATAGCTGCAGTTACACTATCAGACTGCTTACACATGAAATACAGTATACAATCACGAATCACATAGTTTAGTCATGCCACTTTTTCTACTATTTGCTAAACATTAAGAAGATGAAACCTCTCCTGGATAGCAACAGCTCTCAACCTGCGGGTCGCAACCCCTTTGGGGGTCGAATGACCCTTCACAGGGGTCACCTGATTCATAACAGTAGCAAAATGACAGTGATGAAGCAGCAAAGAAAATAATGTTATAGTTGGGGGGTCACCACCACGTGAGGAACTGTATTGAAGGGTTGTGGCATCAGGAAGGTTGAGAACCACTGTCATGCATAATCACATCTACTGGAGAAGAAGGAAATGCGATCACTGGGGGTGAAGCAGGCCTGGAGTATGTGCTACAGAGGCGGCAGCGAGCCCGCCAGTGAGTTCCCGGGGCCAACACAGAAGGAGTGGGCAGAGCAAGGCTGCAGAAGAGGAAATAAAGGCTGCCACAGATAAAAAGGGGCTTAGCTGGCGTCATTGTACTTCTTCTATCTTCTCAGCCAGTCTGGAGTGGTTGGACTCATGAAGAGCAAACTATTTCCTGGTAGATAATTGAGGTTTAACTTCAAAGAGATGGTCCAAGACCAGTGATGGACAATAAACAAACTTGTGTGAGAAGGTAGCCTTTGCAAGTATAAAAGCAACGCTAGCAGAAAATATGCTCGTTTGCTTTATTTTTTAAAAATTATAGTTCATCAAGGGATATGTGAACAGTCATCTACAACACTTAAATACTGAGCACTGCTCCATCATCCTACTCGTAATGCTTCCAAAGGTAATGACTTGTCTCTGAGCAATGTTCTGACAACTCTGTGTTCCTGGGCCTAACTGAGTGACTAGTCTAAAATGCAAGCAGAGTTACCAAACTGGTTCAGAAAACAGGGCTTCTTCTTTGTAGACTAGAGTATTTCAGAAATAAGAAGCAAAATGAAATGCCTTCATCTTTCCAGAAACGACAGAAAAAACCAAAACCCTAATGCCATTGAGCTGACTCTGTCCCATGGCAACACGAGAGCATTTCTCCAGGGAGTTTCCAGGACTGTAACTCGTACATGGGTAAAAAGCCTTGTTTTTCTCTTGAGGTTTTGAACTGCTGACCTTGCAGTGAGCAGCTCAATGTGTGACCACTACACCACTGGAGCTCCTCCCTCCCTTCCCCATCACTGCAAAACTAGGAAATGCCTTTAAGAGTTATTCTGCATGGCACTCATTTGTTTTGTGGTTGAAGTGAGAGACTGTTGAGGAGGTCAAGGGAACTCCCAGGGCATGTGAATGGAGATGGCACCGAAAGGGCTCTGGGCTGGCTCTTCTGGCGGACATTCTCCAGGGTTCTGAACAGTGGTCAGGAATCCAGGTGGTGCAGTGGGTTTAAGTGCTGTCCTGCTACCCGCAACACATCAGTAGTTTGAGCCCATCTGCTGTTCCATGACAGAAAAATGAAGCTGTCTGCTCCTTACAGGGTTACAGCCTTCCAATCCCCGTGGGGCAGTTTCTACTCTATTCTATAGTCACCATGAGTTGGAATCAACTTGATGGCAGTTGGCATTTTCAGTTTGAAAGAGTGATCAGACGCACATCAAAGGTTGGGTTTGGTCTTTATCACCTTTGAGAATTACTGTAAATGGGCATTCTGAAGCTTGCTGGTAAGAGGGAAAGCTTGGTTGGCTGGAGGCAATTAGGAATCAGTTCCCTTACGGTTACAGTACTTGCTGTAAACTGGTAACAGATTTTATAAATAAGCTCTGGAGAGCTCAGTTGATCCATCTCTCTGAAATGGAACTTCTCTTCTCCATCTACAAAGCTGAGAACAGAGTCCTGGCCTGGAAATAATGTATCCGGCAGTCAGGGCCTAGGGACCTGCGAAGAGGGGCAGGGTCTGAATGCTTGGTTACAATTCATTAAAAGGGCATTTCCTGAAGTTCTAAGGCTTCTTATAGCTACAGTGGTCACTTAAACCTAGACCTAAAACAGGGAAGCTATTGGAAACAAGAGAAAACAGTCTGTGTATTTGGAATTCTGGGAGTTGTTACAGTTGTCCTACTTTAACAAAGCTTTTATCTTCATAATAATCCTGTAGAGTAGGAGCTATTTTTATCTCTAATACTATGAGTAGATGAAGAACTAAGAGAGGTTAATTAACTTGCTTAGGTCACAAACTACTCAGTGGCGGAGCCAGCATCAATCCACTTCTGTCTGTCCACGAGTACAGCACACAACAGGTAAGAGCAGCCAATGTGCATGAGACCAGCTGTTGGAAGCAGACAGCAAGGACAAGTAACAGTGGAAGCTAAGTATAAAAGAAAAGATAATTACAAAACCAGAGTTGCTGAGCCTTTCTTTACAGCCTCCAACAGCGCCATAAACTTTAACAGCTCCTAAAAGGGCTTTCAAACATCCTTAGGAGAAAAGTTGACTAATTGGAGAAAGCCACGTATTGGCAGACTTTCCATTTCACAGCACCCTCAAGGACCCCCTCATCACCCAGTGTCACACACTGTCCCCTTTCCTTTCTGGAGCAGCTGTACTCTCACTGCCCGGTCTCACACTGACATCTTGGAGGCCTGACATACATTAGGAAGTCTGCTCTTTGAGGGAATAGAAGAACTGGATTCATGTCCTCCATCTACCAAGAAGTCAAAGTCTACTGGAAAAAAGCACCTTCAGCTGCTAAAACGGAGTTGTTTCGTGCTTTGCGAGTTCAAGAGTCTGTCCCACCTGTAAAGTTTTATGATTCTATAAAGTTAAATCATACTGAAGACGCTACACTCATTAAGACAGGGGCTTAATAAAGAGTTGTTGTAAAAGACTGAGATAAAATAATAAAAGTTTTTTTTTTTTTAAATGTGCCCCAGAGATCTGGTGGCTTAATGGGTTATCCATTGGGTTGCTAATCACAGGTCAGTAGTTCGAAACCACCAGCTGCTTCGAGGGAAAAAGATGTCTTGGAAGCCCACAGGGGCAGTCTTACTTTGTCCGCACAGGGTTGCTATGAACTGGAATCTAGTGGATGGCAGGGAGTTTGGTTTTTGTTAGCGAGTCAACTTGAGAAACCCATGAAGTCCACGGTGGCACATTTCCTTTGCTTATGCTGCACAAGGAGGTGCGGTGTGCCAGCCTTGTCATAGCTGGTCAACTGGTCGATGGATTGGAACAGACGCTGCTAAATTACTGGATCAGGATCAACAATGGTGGTCAAGGCATACAAAAGTGTTTGGGGCAGACTTTGAGGTTGTGTATAGATCGGTTTACAAATGGGTCAGTTTCAGCCTATGGTGTCCATGTATGAGAAGCAAAAACAGCACATATAAAAGTCTCTTCCTTGAACAGTAAATAGTTTAGTTTTTTTTTGTATCTATAGTAATCAAAATATAACTCAGACCTGTTACACAAATTCTATTAATTCCCATAGAACTAATGATGTTGTGACACAGACACTTTTAAAGAATCTGTGCTACTAACTCAAATGCTCTGCTGCCCTTAAATCCATCTCCTAACACATATACCATGTCATTTTAATAGAAATAGTTTTTATTTATTGAGTACTTACTTTTAATCCTATGAAGTAGGAACCATGTTAAATCTCATTTTAGAGATGAGAAAGCTGAGGCAGATGGTTTAAGTAACTTGCCTAAGGTCACACTAACTTTTAGGTGGTGAGGCAGGAATTCAATGACTGAGGGTAAACTCTCCCCCTTCTCAGCCCCCCCGGGAAGATCATGTACAAGCTATGATCACTAAGACAGACTGAAGTGAATCATCTTCGAGCTACAGAATGTCAAGGGATGCTGGCAATAACCAGGAGCCAAGAAGAGGCAAAAACATGTCCTTAACTGGAGCCTTCAGAGGGGACCGTGGCCCTGTGGACACCTTAGTTTGGGACTTCTCGCCTCCAGAATGGAGAGAGAATAAATGAGTTGTTTTAAGTCACTAAACTGGTGGTTTTACAATAGCACTAGAAAGTGAGTACAATGAACTTTCTTTATAACATAAATAAAATTGTACTTAACACCCCCCACCCCGCCCAAAACCTTTACTACTTACAGTACACTTTCCATATCTGCTATATTTTCTTCCATTTTCTGAGACCGTGTAGAGGTAAATAAAGTTGTCGTGAGATCCTACTGCCAGGAGCGTACCATCTAGAATGAAACAGAAAAAAGTGTTGACTAAGGGTCATACCGATAGACTGACTTCTTGTTATTTAATGGACCGCACCAAAGGGCATTCTGCATACGGTGTTTGACCGGTACTTGGTGCAGTGAAGGGCTTTCCATTCCCAGCCGAAGCAGACTTCAGAGACAAGTGGCCGTTTGGCCACGGCATGATCCTTTCTTGGAGATGCTCCCAGAACTGGGGCTCCAACCTCAGTTCCTTGTTCGCTAAAAAGAAGTCCCTGGCGTCCGAAGCAAGCTAACAGGCACATTCACCTGTGAGGAGGGCGAGCACACGGAGAGTCCAGGGTACAATGCTTTTCTCAGCAGAGCACAGACGACCTTCCCAACGAGAGGGGCCGGCTTCTCCTGGGCAGAGATTTCAGTTTTTCTGGTCTCCTCCACTATACCTGCCACAGTACTAACTAAGCAGGCAACAGTCACTTAAGGCCCACTGGTTTTTAACAAACCCACTGCATTAAATCAATCCCAACTCACTACAACCCTCTTTCAAGGTCGAAGGTTTGCAATCATGGTGGAAGCAGACAGCCACCAGGGCCGCTGGGGATTACCCTGCCGACCGTGTAGTTAGCGGCCCAACGTCCAACCAGCAGCAACACCAGGATCCCTGTTTGCTGCCAGAGCACTCAATCACTTCCCTGCAAGATAACCGCCGCCAGGTTTATAGTTTGCAGCAAATACTTCTCTATCCTGGGATCCTACTTAAAAAAAAAAATTAGACTATACATACTAACTCCAAGGAAGAAATATGTCAATAAAAACCATATTACTAGGAAGGGAAAACAGAATGCTTTTGTGGAGACTTAATTAACATCTCAAACAAAGTACAAATAATTCAAACAAAACTAAAATGAATTTATTAAATTCTTATCATAAATTGCTAAGCATTTCCTCTAATATATCAAAACTATGAAACAGCTAACAACAGGGCAAACAGATTCTAAAGACCTATGACAGTGTGTCCGTGTTCAATTCTAAGACAGTCTCTTGTTCGAGGAGCACTGGTGACAGTGGTTGGGGAGGAGCTGCTAAGCACTGGGTCAGAAGCCCCTCGAGAGAAAGCCGAGGCTTTTCTCTGCCCGTGAAGAGTCAGTCTTGGAAACGCACAGGGCGGTTCCACCCCGGCCTGTCCGGTCACTTGCTGGCAGGTGGAATTGACCTGCGCAGTGAGTTGGTTACATTCTCACCCACAGAGGTAACCTTGCTAAGCCAAAGCACTCTCAGCTAGTACCAGTCAAGCCCCTGAGGCGGCGTGCTTAAAAAGGAAGTGTTTGATTATAGGGTACCCTGCTTTTAATTGCCACTGCCGTTGTAACACTTGGTTCTATCTACACGGGTATTTGCCTGATGATTTAGAATGTTGTGCAACTTTAGCAGTTTCTTGCAACAGACTTTAATTTGATGTTGGTAGAATACTTAAGAAGTCTACAGAGATGAGCCGAAAACTAGGGAGCCAGCTCTATCAAAGCAGGACTGTGCACTGGCAGGGGCGTGCTGTGTGTGCTGGGGCAGCTGCCTACCTGTTGTGTAGCGCATCACAGAGAGCTGCTCATTCCCGTCAGTGTGGATGGAAACGAGGTCCCGGGTTTCTGCGTCCAGAACAAACCACCTGTTAAGAAGTAAAAACCAGAGGTTTCTTTTCAGACATTAGCATTTAGGGGGCAGGGATGGTGGTGGAGCTTTCTTAGTTAACAATTTTAATCGTCCTTGAGTAGGATAAAGGATCCTTGGTGGCACAATGATTAAGCACTCAGCTGGTGGTCTAAACCCAGCAGCTGTTCCATGGGACACAAGGTGGCAGTCAGCTTCCATTCGGATTTACTGCCTCGGAAACCCTATGGAGCAGTTCTACTCTGTCCTCAGGGTCGTTGCGAGTGGGTTTGAGGAGCATGTTCTTCTCTTCTCATGAAGGATGCATTTATTTGAAAAAATGTCAGCCGTCAAAGAAACACACTCAGAAGGGCTGAGGCCCACGCTCGACCCTCTCTAGGTAGGCACCGAATGCCAGCAGGGTGTCTCTGCTAGGTTTGACAACACAGCAAAGAAGAAGAAACTGAAGATTACATTACCGCTTGGGAAAAGGAAATGAGCCAACTGAAACAAAGGACAAGTGCCAACCTGAGAGATGGTGACTAGACAGAGTAAAGGAAGGCATGGAAGGAAGGAATGAAGCAGACACAGAAAAACCTCCAGCAGGCTTTTAGGACACGGCTGGACACTGAGTGAAAGCAGTATAGGAAGTTCAGGCAGGAGGAGAGGCAGGTGTACAGCTCCAGGGCCGGAAGAAGGGACATTAGGAACAGCATGGCCCATTCATTTGATATGGCTTCACAGGCACCAGCAGGGGGCACTCTGCCTCCACAGTATTTCCAACACTTGACATTCTTAGAAAAGGATAGCTTTTCATTCAGAGAAAACCCAGCACCACCACCACCAAGCAGCCTCACATCATTCAAATGCCTCCTGGGAGGTAAAACAGTGAGATTTAAATGCAACTTCAATACAATTATTGAATGAATGTTATTAGACCTATTTCTAAGAGTCCTGAGAGGAAGGAACGAGAGCTTCAAAAGAGCCCAATGAGGTGCAAGGTATAAAGCAAGGACAGAGCTGCGACTGGACAGCGTCAGGAAGGCTGGACAGTAAGAAGACCGGTTACAGACTGCCTAGGGTCAATTCCTTCCAAACTCAGATCCAAACCCACTGACCTGAGTCAACAGGACACAGAAGAACTGCCCCCCAGGTTTCCCAAGACTAAAATCTGGGGAAAAGATAAGCAGGCAGCCTCATCTTTCTCCCAAGTACCAGCTGGTGGGCATCAATAGCTGACCCCACTCCACCACCAGGGGTCCTTTCTCGACTCCGATCAGGCAAGACATAGACGTTGTAGCCATGGTAAATGGCAAGCTTTACCAGGAGTTAGTGAACAGCAGTGCAGTATGTGGGAAGAAATGGTTGCAATGGAGAGAATTTTCTGGGAAAAGATTAGGAAAAAAACCCACCATTATTTTAATCTCATACCAGGATAGGACAAGAGCAGCACGTTTTATTTTTAATTATTCAGAGGGAAATAAGATCACCACTAAAATAAACCAATAAAGGAATATTATTTCAATTTTATAGGGATATGGGGATATAATTCATATCAGGAGACAACTTCTAGATTAAAATCATATTAGTTAGGAACAGTGTTTGAACGAGAGAGAGAAACGAGTTATAGTACCTACTATGTTCCAGTGTTTTCAGGGTAGGAAATGAAAGGATAAAGATCCTGGATGCTACCCATCAATGAAATTCATCTCTAAGCTTGTTTATGAGTGAATTCTTGTGACCTGTGCACTGAAATATCTAGGCAGGTAACAATTTATAAATCCTGTCACCTACTTGGGTAAGAGGGAATTCTGGTGGTATAGTGATTACGAATTGGGCTGCTAACTACAAGGTCTGCTGTTTGAAACCATCAGTTGGCTCCACGGGAAAAAGATGAGGCTTTTCGACAATATCAGAAACCAACAGTGGTCGTTCTATCCTGCCCCATTGGGTCGCTATGAGTTGGCATCTATTGGATGGCAGTGAGGCTTTTTTAAAAATTTTACTCAGGTTAGAGAAATTAACTTCTATAAGAGAATACCTGTGTTTAATGGCCAATTGGCACTCTGAAGACATATGCTGCAGATTTATTGATGATTTCCATTTCAAGGGGTACTTACAAAACACAGTTTATTATGATTAGGCAATACCTTTAGATTATAGGTTTCATCCAAGGATGTAATTCAGTAATGAATTTCTCGGACTTCCATTGTGAAACTGCCCTGGGCCCAGAACCACAGGGCTGGTGTGAAGTGAAATGAACTGTGTCTTCAGAGTAAGGAGACACTCCGAGTGAACAGACACAGTGAAAGCAAAAGGAGATGGGGCACCACTCTGCAGGGACGTGGTCTCCATTTTTACTGAGTTACGTAAACCTCGTAGGAGCCCTGGTGGCCTATAGGTTATGTGTTGGGCTGTGATTTGCAAGGTCCACAATTCGAAACCAACCAGCCACTCCAGGGAGAAATATGCAGCTAAGAACTCCCATAAACTGTCACAGTTTTGGAAACTCACAGGGGCAGTTCTACCCAGTCCCACAGGGTTGCTGTGAGTTGGCACTGACTCGAGGGTAAGCAGTGATGGAAACGACTTCAACCTGAGGCATTTAAAAAGGATCATCACTTTGTAATTTGGAGAAGCTACAACTGATAAGGTTGTAAAGATTGCTTCCAAGTCAGTTTAGTCTTTGGGGGGAAATGGCACACATCTTATCTTTTTGGAAACTCCCTTTAAAAAATATCAAAAGAGAATGTTTAAGATGTGAAGTAATCTAAAACTCTTAGTCATTCACTGGTTAGAGAGAATAGCTATCAAAAAGGAAAACCACTGCCAGTTTTTCTAATTCCTCATGATATATTTAACATGAATTGTACTTTTGGCAAGTAGTTTTTTAGCGATCATTTAATCACCTTGTCATTAAAAACATCTATCTTTCACATAGACCCCAATTTGAAGCCCCACCTTTTTGACTTTGTGGTCTACGTTCTACCTTCAGAAAAGACTTTTAGGCTCACAACCTGTCACTAGCAATGGTATGGAGAAGACAACAATCTTTAGCAAGTTGATTTTCTAGAAATAAATATTAAGTATTTAATTTGTTCAGCTGTATTTAATTCTAGCCTGGAGGATCTACAAGAAGGCCTCCTGGTGCTGAGGGATAAGCATTTGGCTGCTAACCACAATGTCAGCGGTAAAACCCACCGGCTGCTCTGCTGGAGAAAGACGTGCTGTCAGCTCCCGTACAGAGTCATAATCTTGCAAGCCCTACGGAGGATCACTGTGAACTGGAACATACTTGACTGCAGTGGGAAGAGCACATACAATACAACCAAGTTTCTGCTTCATGGTAACTTGCGATCATTGTTGTTAGTTGCTATGGGGTCCATCAGACTCAAGGAGACACAGAGCACAAGATGCTTCCCGGAGTTTTCAAGGCTGTGGCTGTTTGGAAGTAGATTGCCAGACCTGACTTCTAAGGTACCTCTGAGTTTGAACTGACAACTTTTTGTCAGTAGGCTAGCACTTAGCCACCGTGTACCTAGGGACTCCTATTACTAAGCCACTACTATGAAATGCCTTTCATTATTTTTATGTAGTATCTGATTAGGCTGTCATCCACATGGAGGATACCATGTCTATTTCTTGGACTGCTCATTGCATCCACTGCAGTACTTTGCATGTGCAGGCGCACCACAGTAGTTGTTCAATGAAGGAGAGACAGAATAAGGAAGAACCCAGGTAGACTCGACTGACTGGGCTCAAAGACATGGTGTACTCTTGAAAATAAACTCATATTAAGTTAATATTAAAAGTGATTCCCTTCTAGTTAGATGTCTTTGACATTTCCCCTATTAAACAGAAGGAACATTTCTTAGATTCAGAATCTTTATAGTCACGGTACATAAAGCCAATACTTAGTTTCTGTCCTATTTTATTTCACATTCTAGTTGTGGCAGGTAATAATTTTCTATTTATACTAGAGGGAAAAATGTCCTTTAAAAAAAAAAAAGTCCTTTTCAAAGCTTTCGCCTGAATTTTACAAGAAGACACAGTAACATGCATGAAGATGGGAAACGCTGGGCCCAGCTGGAGGCCTGGTCCTAGTTCTGGCTTTGCCCTGCTCAATGCTGGCTTGTCCAAGGTTAGAGTGACCATGAAAACCCTGAGTTCAGCGGAGTCCATTGAAGGCACGCAGGCAGGCCCGGATTCCGTGGCTCCAAGTCTAAACCTGCATTCAACTCTTTACCTGCTCACCCACTAGTTATTAATCTTCTCAGCTTGTTTCTTGTCAGAGCTGCACGGGCACTATCACTGTGGACCAGAAACTGCAGGGTTTCTTTGAAGTCTCCCCCTGGCCTGCCTACTCCCCTTACCACCCTTAGGTTCTATAATATAGTCTATCCAGGGGCGGCTACAGCACGGAAGGCACTCGATGAAATGACCTGACACAGCAGCTGCAACCATGGACTGGAGCGCAGGCCTGGGTGGTGTTTCACTGCGTTGTGCACAAGGTCCCTATGGGTCGGAACCTACTCGATGGCACCCAAGAGCAACATAAGATTAGTATGTTTCTCTCTTTTAACACCATCTTGTTTTAGAAATAGAAATAAGTACACAGTTCTGGATAAACCGTGAAGATGTAACCGATGATTTCTATCTCAGGAGCCGGGAGGCACAGGGGGCTACACGTTGGGCTCCTAATTGCCAGGCCAGCAGTTTGGCCCACCAGCCGCTCCTCGGGAGGAAGGAGCGGCTTCCTGCTCCCCTAATGCAGTCTCGTCTTGGAAACCCACAGGGGCCCCATCAGTCAGAATGGACTCAATGGCAGGGAGTTTGACTGCATTTCCATTTTTTATCTATTTGTATGAATTATATCTTCATTTTAACGGAAAACATACTTTCCTTATAAGAAATTCTTCATGCAAATATGCCAAAGCTAGATGAACTCTAAGAAACTACAGACTAATCTCCCCTTATGCACAAAGAATAAAAAAAAAAAATCCCTCAACAAAATACTAG